CATCTAGTCCTTATTTTGCAGAGGAGGAAACTGAGGCACAGAAGGAAGAAGGGCTTTGCTGGAGGTCACACAGTTAATGAGTGGTAGATCCAGGTTTGAGCTTGGGTCTTAGGACTGCTGCTGCTGATTATGATGCTGCTGCTGCTACTGCTGAATTCTGCTGAGTTTCTCATGTTAATGAGATGTGGATTCAATCAACAAAGGAGAGAGAAGGTATTCCCAGCAAAGGCAACAGAATGAACTGCAAAGGTAGGGAAGCAAAAAAGTTCAGGGCATGCCCAGGGGTCACAGAGTAGTTCATTTGGCTAGAGTGGAGAATGCATGGAGGCGAGGAGGGTGAGTTATGACTGAAAGGGAAAATGGGGCTAGATTGTGGAGTGGTGGAGCTTGAATGGTAATAAGTAATAGGGAGCTACCGATGACTTTTGAGCTGAGAAGTAACCAGCCTCTCTCTGTCTCTGTCTTTGTTTCTCTCTCTCTCTCTCTCTCTCTCTCTCTCTCTCTCTCTCTCTCTCCTCTCTCTCTCTCTCTCCTCTCTCTCCACACACACATATGTGTGTGTGTATATATATATATACATATATATATGTATATATCCTCAATAATATTGTGAATTCAAAGGACTACATCATATACTCTTTGAATGCCCAATAGCTCCCATCACAGAGCTAGGCACTCCATAATTCTTTGCTGATTAATTGGACAAGTACAAATTTGGGCACAGGTGACATCCCTCCCAGGTGTGTACTTACTACCTGTGTAAGTTAGTTTCCCTTCCTGGCCCTCAGTTTCCTCATCTGTAAAATAATAATAATAATGATAATGATAATAATAATAATAATAATACTTAGCATTTATATGGCGTTTTAAGGTTTGCAAAGCTCCAAACATATATTATCTCATTTGGTCCTCACGAGAACCCTTCAAGGTAGGTTCTATTAGCTCCATTTTACAGATGGCAAAACTAAGGCTGAATGACTTACGAGACTTTCCTGGGGTCATGAAGCTAGTAAGCGTCTAAGGTAAGATTTGAACTCAGGTCTTCCTGACTCCAAGTCTGTCACTCTCAACCACTGTTGCAACCTTCCTGCCTCTAAGATGAGAGGCTTGGACTACATGGCCTCGAAGATCCCTGCCAGCCCTAAATCTGGGATCCTATGGTCCGAGGAATTGGGGCCCACTGGGTTTGGAGGCACAAAAAAAGGCAACGCTCTGAGGTCTCAGGTCTTGGAATTGACCCTATCTGTTCTGTCCCTCTGTTTATTGAATCATATCCAATATCTGTTACAATAAAAATAGCTCATTTTTCTATAGTTCTGTAAATTTTACAAAGCATTTTCTTCCCAAGAACCTGACAAGTAGGGAATACAAGCATATCCCCATTTGCAGTGGTTTTAAATGTGGTTGATTTGTTCCAAAATCCCAAGCTAGGGAGAATTGGAATTAGATCTTGAATTCAGGTCTTCTCCCTGAAACTAGTGAGCTTCCCATAATGCCACGCTCCCTTTCACTACAGAGAATATTAGACTGATACAATAGCCAAGCTCCAAGGGGCCTTCCTAAGCCAACCTAACTTCTTCATTTGACAGAGGAGGAAACTGAGGCCCAGAGAGGGGAAACGACTTGCTCAGTGTCCCACAGCCAGTTAATAGCAGAGCTGAGAGAAAGACACAAATGTCTTGATTCCTCATTTATAAAAAAAAAAAAACTTCATAGAATTGTTGTGAGAACCAGAGGAAATAAAGTATATGAACCACTTTGTAAACTTTTTTATTGTTATAATACCTTAAAATATACCTGGAGTCAAAGGCCCAGGTTTCAATTCCTGATTTGACTCATCATCATGAATCTGGGTCTCTCTGGGCCTCAGTTTCCTCATCCTTAAAAAAATGAGGATTTCACTGGATGACCTCCAAAGATCTTTCCGGTTTTGTATCTATGATCCTATGATTCTATACATACATACATACATACATATATTTCCTATGAAGTAATGTGACTTTTTTGAGCTGTCTCATCAAAATTTATCCATCCAGAAGAGGGCTATCCTTCCAACAGGTTCACCTGGGAGACTAGGCATTATTCCCACAATGCCATCATGCTCAGAACATGCCTGGGCTCCTCAGCAACTGGGCCTATCAAGCCAATCCATATTGGAGCCTCATGCTTTCTGTTACCCAGGATTGATCACCTCCTTTCACGGAGAGCTCCCCATTCTGCCCTCCTCCTCATCTCACATTAGTCAGACATCTTCCCATACCACTCTGCCCCTGTCTGATGAAAAGGTGGCCCATCTCCTTGCCAAGGCAAACCTCTCTACATTCATCTTCAATCAAGTCCCATCGTAACTTCTCCAACAGATTGCTCTGTCTGTGCTTTTGCACAGCTCTAAATGGATATCCCATAGATACCTCAAACTCAGCATATCCAAAATAGAACTCAATATCTTTTCCTCCCAGAATCCTCCCCACTTCCCAACTATTGTCAAGGGCACCAAATCTTCCCAGTCATCCAGGGGCAGAACATAGACCTTTCCCCCATGCTCACCCCACCCGTCCAATCTTGTTGCCAAATCTTGTAGTTTCTACCCTCCCAGAATCTCTTGGATATGTCCCTTTCTCTGTCCTTACACAGCTGCCCTCATCCTTGATTATTGCAATGACCTCTTCATTGGTCTCCCTTCTCTCCAGTGCATCCTCCACCCACCTGCCAAAGTGATTTTCCTAAAGCTCAGGTCTGGCCATGTCATTTCCCTACTCCTTTAACTGCAGTGGCTCCCTATCATCTCCAGGACCAAGTATAAACCCCTCAGTTTGGCATTTAAAGACCTTTCCATCCTGGCCTCCACTTACCATCCCAGTCTCCTTTCATCTGACAGCCCTCTCTGCACTCTCAGATCCAGCTCCACGCCACTGCTCCTGACTTTGCCCTGGCTGTCCCTCATGCTTGGAATGCTCCCACTCCTCACTTTGCCCTCCTGGCTTCCTTCAAGACTCCACTCCAGTTCCATGTTCTCCAAGGGGGCTGACCCAGTCTCTTAGTGTCTCCACTCAGCTGATTCTTTCCAGTTCACCCTGCTCAGAGCTAATTTGTATGCAATTGTTTGCTTGTTCTCTAGTCCATTAGATTGGGAGTTCCTTGAGGGCAGGGCCCTTGAAGTGCTTACTTAGCACAGGGTCTTGCCCACTGTAAACACTGAATAAATGCTCTGCGACTGACTTTCCAAAATTCAAACGTCCTCAGAGTTAGAAACTTTGCGGTAACTGAGTAAGTTCAAAAGGATGTGTGACTGGCTCTGAAGAGAATTTGCAAAGAGAAGTTTCAGAAAGGTGGTGTGTGAGCAATGCAGCCTCTGGGGATAAATCCTGAGTGGAGAAGCTCCTCAGGGGGCAGCTTCAAAGGGGCCAACATTCCTTGGACTGAATAACTTAGAGAATGTTTGCTAGTCAACAACAAAAATAGTCCCCTGACTTTACAGCCCCATCTGGTACTAGGAGAAACTCTAGTCTCCTCTCTTCCCCTCTCCTCCCCTCTCTTCCTCCCTTCTTCCCTCTTCTCACCTCCCTTCTCTCTTCCATACTCTCCTCCTCCCTTCTTCTCTCTCCTTCCCTCTTCTCCTCCCTTCTTTCCTCTCCTTTCCTCCATCCTCTTGTCCTCCATCCTCTCCTCCCTTCTTCCCTCTTCTCCCTTCTCTCTTCCATCCTCTCCTCCTCCCTTCTTTCCTCTCCTCCCCTCTCCTCCTCTCCTCAATCCTCTTCTCCTCCATTCTTCTCTCTCCTTTCCTCCCTCCTCCTTTCCTCCCCTTTCCTCCCCTTTCCTCCTCCCTTCTTCCCTCTCCTTTCCTTCATCCTCTCCTCCCTTTTTCCCTCTTCTCTCCTCCCTCCTCTACTCCTTTCTTCCTTCTCTTTTCCTCCCTCCTCTTCTCCTCAATCCTCTCCTCCTTCCTTCTTCCCTCTCCTCCTCCCTTCTTCCCTTTCCTTTCCTCCATCCTCTTGTCCTCCCTTCTTCTCTCTTCTCTCCTCCTTTCTCTTCTCCTCCATCCTCTCCCCTCCCCTTTCTTCTCCTCTCCCCTATTCCTCTCCTCTCCTCTAATCAACTGAAGGGGAAAGGGTTTAATAGATCCCCTCAGTTACCCCTTACTTTCTCTTGTCTCCTCCAGCCTTCATCACTGTTTCTCCACCTCCCACCCTCCTGATTCAGAGTCTGAAGCTCAGCATTTTTTAATGCTGGACGGGAGAGAGAGGAGAGGAGAAGAGGAGAAGAGGACAAGGGTCAAAAGAGAAGGTGAGCAAGAGAAGGAGGATTGGAGGAGAAAGGAAGAGGAGAGAAAAAAAGAGAAGAAGAGAGGGAGTGGGACAGAGAGCAAGAGACAGAGATAGTCACAGGAATGAGAGCAGGAAAGGGAGGGAAAGGGGAAAGAGTTGGAGAGAAGGGAGTAGGAAAAAGAGAGAGAGCAGGAGAGGAAGTGGGAGTGAGAAAGAAGAGAAGAGAGAGATGGAAAGAGAGAGGGAGAGAGATAGGGAGAGACAGAGAGAGATGGAGAGAGAGGGGAGAGAGATGGAGAAAGAGAGGAGAGAGATGAAGAGAGATGGAGACAGGGAGAGAGAGTGGAGAGGGGGAGAGAGAGAAAAGAGAAGAGAAGAGAAGAGAAGAGAAGAGAAGAGAAGAGAAGAGAAGAGAAGAGAAGAG